ACTCCATAGAGATTTCTTCATATGTCATAGTAATGGATTCACACTTCATAAACAGGTATTTCATAGGAAGGTATTTACACTCTAGAGGAGAATGTGTTTGGTTTAATGTTAAAGATACTCAAGGAGATAAATGGTTAATAGTCATAATCTTATTCTGTTTGTTTTCGAGACGTTTATTTCGTCTCGAAAGGGGGGAATATCGTATCTGAAGATTATGCCTTTGTTAAATGTTTTTCATGACGAAATGGAATGTTGGTTGTTTAGGCCAGAGGGGGGATGGTTTATGATGTTATTTGAAATGTGCCGCTTGGAGGGGGACGCCCGAGGGGAGACTGGTGATTGGCCAGAAGAGGGGAGTCACTCCTCTTCTTGCATGGTTTATAAATAGGGGGTAAACGATGAGACGGCAGAACGGCCATAGCAATCTGGGAGCCGTTCTCCGGACATCGCGAGTCTGTATCTATGCTGTAAATTCGTGATTTTAATAAAAGCCTCTAACACGATGCAGCATGGCGAACTCTTTGTTGACAAGCAATAATTGCCACCATTCATCATATACGACACACTCACTAACTGTAAGTCGCTCTGGATAAGAGCGTCTGCTAAATGACTAAAATGTAAAATGTAGAGCCTTATCTTAGAAACCCCTGAACATGAACTTTGAGCGCCACATTTGTGATGTGACGCTCCTGACAATCACTGTTCAAAAACAGACACTGCCCTAACGTTCTCTCCAATTATTTAACATACAAAATAAATGAAAATATCATTTTCACCATACGTTTCAGAATGCACAATTTATTCTGACTGACAAAAACAAGGTACAGTATGTCCTTAATATACAGCGTGCTGAACGATCCGAAGACGAACTCTAGATCCACATTCAGAACGATCCAAAGACGAACTCTAGATCCACATTCAGAACGATCCGAAGACGAACGCTAGATCCACATTCAGTGCAATGTGTGGGAGACTTTAGACAGCAAACAACAATATTTAATTTAAGATCCAGCAAAAGTTAAATCAAATAAAATTGTACTGGTCGTAAACACATATTTTCTATTTGTTATCACAGGTGTAGCAAAATGCTTATGTTTCTTGTTCCAACACTGCAGTAATACCTAACAATAAAAAGAAAGGAATTAAGAAATGTCAGTCCGGAAAATAAATATATACTAAACAAAAATATAAACGTAAGCAACAATTTCAAAGATTTTACTGAGTTACAGTTCATATAAGGAAATCAGTCAATAGAAATGACTGAATTAGGCCCTAATCTATGGATTTCACATGACTGGGAATACAGATATGCATCTGTTGGTCACAGATACCTTAAAAAAAAAAAAAAAAGTAGGGGTGTGGATCAGAAAACCAGTCTATCTGGTGTAACTACCATTCACCTCATGCAGCGCGACACATCTCCTTCGCATAGAGTTGGTCAGGCTGTTGATTGTGGCCTGTGGAATGTTGTCTCACTCCTCTTCAATGGCTGCGCGAAGTTGCTGGATATTGGCGGGAACTGGAACACGCTGTCGTACCCGTCGATCCAGAGCATCCCAAACATGCTCAATGGGTGACACGTCTGGTGAGTATGCAGGCCATGGAAGAACTGGGACATTTTCAGCTTCCAGGAATTGTGTACAGATCCTTGCGTCATGGGGCTGTGCATTATCTTGCTGAAACGAGGTGATGGCGGCAGATGAATGGCACGACAATGGGCCTCAGGATCTCGTCACAAAATCTCTGCGCATTAAAATGTATATAGATCAAATGCAATTGTGTTCGTTGTCCGTAGCTTATGCCTGCCTATACCATAACCCCACCACCACGGGGCACTCTGTTCACAATGTGACATCAGCAAACCATTCGCCCACACGACGCCATACATGTGGTCTGCGGTTGTGAGGCCGGTTGGACATACTGCCAAATTCTCTCAAACAACGTTGGAGACGGTTTGGTGGACACAGCTCCAGTGGACATTCCTGCAGTCAGCATGCCAATTGCACGCTACCTCAAAACTTGAGACATCTGTGGCATTGTGTTGTGTGACAAAACTGCACATTTCTGAGTGGCCTTTTATTGTCCCCAGCACAAGGTGCACCTGTGTAATGATCATGCTGTTTAATCAGCTTCTTGATATGCCACACCTGTCAGGTGGATGGATTATCTTGGCAAAGGAGAAATGCTCACTAAAAGGGATGAAAACAAATTTGTGCACAAAATATGAGAGAAATACGAATTTTGTGCGTATGGAAAATTTCTGGGATCTTTTATTTCAGCTCATGAAACATGGGACCAACACTTTACATGTTGCGTTTATATTTTTGTTCAGTGTATATGTATATGATGGTGTGTATAGACAGTTTATGAATAGTAAAGGTGTATACAGCAGTAGCTATATAGGATGAGCCTTGACTAGAATACAGTATATACATACGAAGTGGGTACAACAGTATTTAAACATTAAAGTGACCAGTGTTCAATGACTATGTACATAGGGCAGCAGTCTCTAAGGTGCAGGGTAGAGTACCGGGAGGTGGCCGGCTAGTAACAGTGACTAAGTTCAGGGCAGGGTCCTGGGCGGAGGCCGGCTGGTGGTGTCTGTTTAACAGTCTGATGGCCTGAAGATAGAAGCTGTTTTTCAGTCTCTCTGTCCCAGCTTTGACGCACCTGTACGGTCTTAGCGTTTCCCAAACTCAGTCCTTGGGGTGCACGTTTTGGTTTTTGCCTTATCACTACACAGCTGATTCAAATGATCAAAGCTTGATGAATAGTTGATTATTTGAATCAGCTGTGTAGTGATAAGGCAAAAACCAAAACGTGCACCCCTTGGGGTCCCGAGGACTGAGTTTGAGAAACCCTGTTGTAGATGGCAGGGGGGTGAACAGGGCGTGGCTCGGGTGGCTGAGGTCCTTCATGATCTTCTTGTCCTTCCTGTGACACCGGGTGCTGTAGATGTCCTGGAGGGCAGGCAGTGTGCCCACGGTGATGCGTTTGGGCTGACCGCAACACCCTCTGGAGAGCCCTGCGGTTGCGGACGGTGATACAGCCTGACAGGATGCTCTCAATGGTGCATCTGTAGAAGTTCGTGAGGGTCTTAGGGGCCAAGCCAAACTTCTTCAGCCTCCTGAGCTATTTTCCTGGCACCACTCCACCAGGGCTCTCACCTCCTCCCTGTAGGCTGTCTTGTCGATGATTGAGTTGGAGACGTGTGTGGAACAACATTTTTAATTACTAACATCTATACCAAAACAATTCTAAGCTAAAAAATAAATCTCGACTTGAATTTGCTCAGTGTTCTTTCTTGTCATGTGCTTTCAAAAGTTCTGTCCGACTGAAAGCTTTCTCGCATTTTAAACATTTGTAGGGCTTCTCTCCAGTGTGAGTCATCATGTGTCTTTTCCGTTTCCTAGAGTCAGAAAAGTTTCTCCCACAGACAGAACACGGATACGGCTTCTCCCCCGTATGAGTTCGCATGTGTCGAGTAAGATAACAGTTTTGAGTAAAACCCTTCCCACAGACTTTACACTGAAATGGCCGCTCTCCAGTATGGTATCTCATGTGTACCTTCACTTCAGATTTCGATTTGAAACTTTTGCCGCACTCAGACACGTTGCATTTAAAAGGCCTCTCCTGAGTGTGAATCAGATCATGCCTTGTCAATGAGGACATGCTGAGAAACAGCTTACCGCAGTATGTGCAGGGATAACGCACCCCAGCATGATGTCTCGCCACATGGCCTTGTAACGTCCTTTGTAACGCATAAGATTTGTCACACTGAGAGCAGGAGAAGTGTTTATCTTCAGGTTTTCTGTGAACACATAGCATGTGCATTTTCAGTTTTGCATTGTTGATAAAGCCCTTTCCACACTCCCAGCAAAGGCATGGTTTCTCTCCTGTGTGTATTCTCTCGTGTTCGACAAGAACCGCTGATAAGTTGAACTTCCTTGGACAGTGGGAGCACTGGTATGGGAGGTCTCCGGTGTGAGTCCTCTCGTGTCTGAGGAGTGCTGCTAAATCAGTGTAGCTTTTCTCACAGTAGGTGCAGAGGAATGGCCCGCTGAATTTATGAACATCCAGATAGTGTTTCTTGAGTGGCTGGACACCGTTGAAGCTGTTTTCACACATGGTGCATTTCAAAGGCTTGTGCACCAACTTATGCCTGTCCAGCTTTTCTGGGTCTGCAAACATCCTACTGCACTCAGTGCAGTGTAGAGGGCTGTGGGTGAGTGCATGTACCTGGGCATGGGCCTCTTCAGGCTTAGCTCGCAGCACCTTGCACACTATCTTTACAATGTGCTTTCTCATATCATAGATGTTCTTGAACATCTGCCCACAATGAGGACATTTGTGAGGGCGCAGATCTGAGTGGGATCTCATGTGAACTTGCATGCTGTAAGATTTTGGCAAAAGTTTTTTACAAATGCAGCACACTTTTGACTGTTTGCGTTTTTCAGTCTGGCTAGGTTCGTAAGATGGGTCTTGGGGTGTACTGGTAGAGGATGAGTCACTGTCCTCAGGTGTTGCCTCGAGAGGAGTTCCACTGGACGGCTCTGTGTCAACTCCCTCAGGTTTCTGGACTGTTTCGCTGGACATCTCAGAGTCCTTCTCACCACTAGCTGGAGATCTGCTACGTCTTTTCTTTAAGTCTTTTTCACATTTTCCTCTCAGCTTCTCCGAGCTCTGCGGGTCCTTGGAACTCTTATTCAACATTTCAGGTCTTTCATCATTTCCTTCGAACTGCTTGTGTGTTTCACCTTTAGGTTTTGACACAACTACTTTACACACATTTTGCTGATGTCTCGTCTGATCAAAATGGCACTGGAAGCGCTTCCTACACTGGAGACACTGAAATGGGCGCACCCCTGTGTGGATTTTCTGGTGCCACTTCATTTCTGCACCTCGACTGAAAGTCTTCCCACAAATTGGGCATTTCTTTAATGTTTTTTCTTCTAACAATTCTGTTTCGGTTTGTTTCCGTTCTCGTGCTAGCAACGTTTTCATCTTACGCCCCCTGTTTTGTCTAACTGGTCTACAGGGCAACATCAGGTTAGTTGTGTCAATCCTTTGTAGCTTCACTGAAGGCTTGTGAAGCATGGAGGATATTATTTTAATTTGTTCTTCATGACTTCCCCTGGCTTTATGTGTCTTTAGTTTGGGCTTTCTGAAAGATCTCTTCCTTTTGACTCTTAAATCTTCATAAGGCTGTGCCACCCCATCTGCCCCGATAACCATCACTGTTTCGTACCTGGAGTCCACCTCTTCAACAATATCTTCCGTCTCATCTTTTACTGGTCCAATCCCCACAACATTCTCTTCTTCATTACCGGCATGAACCTCCATGTCCTCATGTTCCACAGGGTCAGCGAACTCTATAGATAGTTTGTTGTTTCTCTCACATTCCACACGCTCCTCTCTTTCTACTACATCCATACTTGTCCCCGGTTCCATCTCTGTGTACTCTGTCAGTGTTGCAGAGTCCACCTCCAACTCTTTGGTGAATGTATCCATGAAGACATTCAAGGATGAAACCTGTGTTTCTGATTCTGTCTGTTCTGTTGCAATCACCACCCTTTCTACAGGAGGGAGACAGAGAGCTGAGAGAATGCAGTCCCCATCGGTGGAAGACAGAGTATCTATAAAAGGAAGAGGATAAATGAAAGACAATGGTTGAATAGAGAATAAATGTCACTGTCCCCAACAGAAGATTGGCCAACATCATGCATGGGTCCTGTGAGAGATGCCTACCATGGTTGTCCAGCGGGCTGAGGTCTCTGTGGTATTGAAGCAGGGTTTTCAGCTCTTGAGGGTGAGACACGGACTCAACACATTCCTCCAGAACAGATGGAACATCGCCAAGCAGGAACGCAGCCTGACACAGAAGGGAAATAGATAGGATTTAGGGGTGATTCAAAAGATACTATATGAAACTTTGTGAATAGTGATCCTTCACTGAAGTGATGAAGGTATTATTCTAATTTCAGTACCTGTTGAAAGTTTGATACTGGAAGTAGCTTCTCAAGTCTTGAAAGAAACTGACACATGAGTTTCTCTATTGCTGCATCATATTTGGGACCAAATTCCACAGGAAAAACATCCTGAGAAAGAATAAGAAATTAGTATAAAATAAATCACATCTGGTATAAGAAAAAGTGTTATCTGCAACTCACATGGAAACATACAGAATAAAAGGAGACCTTGGCAAAAGGTCAACATTGGTCAGCATTGTTTATAAATAAGATCAATGGTCACCAACCGGTCGATAGCAATCGACTGGTCGATCTCCAAGGCATTCCTAGTCGATCACCAAACAGGCCTCCTGTAGCTCAGTTGGTAGAGCATGGTGCTTGCAACGCCAGGGTTGTGGGTTCGATTCCCACGGGGGGCCAGTATGAAAAATGTATGCACTCACTAACTGTAAGTCGCTCTGGATAAGAGCGTCTGCTAAATTACTAAAATGTAAAATGTAAACATTTCTGTAAAAAACCCAACGATAAAGCCTCTTTTTTACATTAGTTTTGCGTTGACAGCAGGTGCACTTGATTCAGCAGCCCTAGCCTCGGACAGGCAAAGTGTTCCCATTTTGAACCATTTCATGTGTCTGAAGGTAGAACTCCACCTACCTGGCAGGCCCAGACAGCAAATCAAATGCACCTATAGGCCTACCGCTAGCCAATCAGATAGCTCAAATCACTGTGTCTGCACAGTTTCCTCGCTCCATAGATTGTAAAAAGCCTTGAAAGCACAGCAAAGTTGATACTGTGAGATTTAAAAACTTTTAAAACCATGACTAGAGAAAGACTCAACGAATACAGCAAAGAGCTGCTGTTTTTATCAGTAAGTTAATGTTTCAGTTATTATTCAGCACTGTCAACACTTTGTTCAACACTTTTATAAGCCATAAAATGCACGTTCTCCCTACTTCCATTCACGCTACAACCAGCACTGCAGCTGTAATGAATGAGTATAGCAAAGTGTTCCGTTAAGCTTGCGTTGTTATTATTAGCGGCATGTGTCTTTTTTAATATCAAGGAATATTTGACTTTCTCTGTTCATAGGAGTATTTTTTATTTAACCTTTATTTAACCAGGTAAGCCAGTTGAGAACAAGTGCTCATTTACAACTGCGACCTGGCCAAGATAAAGCAAAGCAGTGCGATAAAAAAACAACAACACAGAGTTACATATGGGGTAAAACAAAACATAAAGTCAAAAATACAACAGAAAATATATATACAGTGTGTTCAAATGTAGCAAGTTATGGAGGTAAGGCAATAAATAGGCCATAGTGCAAAATAATTACAATTAGTATTAACACTGGAATGATAGATGTGCAAGAGATGATGTGCAAATAGAGAAACTGGGGTGCAAATGAGCAAAATAAATAACAATATGGGGATGAGGTAGTTGGGTGGGCTAATTTCAGATGGGCTGTGTACAGGTGCAGTGATCGGTAAGCTGCTCTGACAACTGATGCTTAAAGTTAGTGAGGGAGATAAGAGTCTCCAGCTTCAGAGATTTTTGCAATTCGTTCCAGTCATTGGCAGCAGAGAACTGGAAGGAATGGCAGCCAAAGGAGGTGTTGGCTTTGGGGATGACCAGTGAGATATACCTGCTGGAGCGCATACTACGGGTGGGTGTTGCTATGGTGACCAATGAGCTAAGATAAGGCGGGGATTTGCCTAGCAGTGATTTATAGATGGCCTGGAGCCAGTGGGTTTGGCGACAAATATGTAGTGAGGACCAGCCAACAAGAGCGTACAGGTCACAGTGGTGGGTAATATATGGGTCTTTGGTTACAAAACGGATGGCACTGTGATAGACTACATCCAATTTGCTGAGTAGAGTGTTGGAGGCTATTTTGTAAATGACATCGCCGAAGTCTAGGATCGGTAGGATAGTCAGTTTTACGAGGGCATGTTTGGCAGCATGAGTGAAGGAGGCTTTGTTGCGAAATAGGAAGCCGATTCTAGATTTAACTTTGGATTGGAGTTGCTTAATGTGAGTCTGGAAGAAGAGTTTACAGTCTAACCAGACACCTAGGTATTTGTAGTTGTCCACATACTCTATGTCATGTTTTTTTTCTCAAATCTGAGCGGTAGATCTCGGCTTGCATTTTGACTCAGAAAGTGATCTTAACTCAGAAAAGGTTGGTGACCACTGAATAAGATGTACTGTGAGAATGCACTTCTGTACTATTATTATACACACAGCCACACTGACCTGAAAGAAGTGTTCCATCTCATCTGGGTCTTTCAGCAGGGTTTGAATCAAACCCAGAAAGTTGGATTCTGATAAATCTCCATCATCAGCCTGCAAGAAAGAAAACACTTTTGTTATAATGATAATAAGAGAGTTATGTCTAGGACTGACTGATTGACTGACGTAAACATTAGCTAAGCCTATGCCCTTTGGACCTCACCTGTGTCCCCCAGAGAGGTGTGAGGGTCTGTATCCTGTCCAGGTGTGGCTGAATGGTCTGGAGGTCTGTGATCGGCTTGGAGCAACACAACTCCAGGACCAGCTGAAAGCAGAGCAAACCAGTCAGGAGACTTATTTGACACAGTAAAGATGACTAAATATGATCATATGCCATCGTTCCCCACATAATGAGCACTAGCTCCACCCCCCTCTCTCACCCGTGCTCGAAGACCCAGAATAAGTTGGGCCCTCTGACTGTTGTTCAGAAGCTCTGGAACCATCTCTGTGACCATGGTAACAAACTCTTCCAGCATCCCATAATCCATCACCTGTCTTTGCTGGACCGTTTGCCAGATGGCTGCTGAGACCAGCCGTAGTGGTGGGACCATGAGGCGCAGAGAGGGGAGAGGAAGAGGGGGACCTGAAACACAGATACTGACTTAGTTGTTCACAAATCAATTTATAAGCACCTCTTATTGCACATCACATCAAACTCTAGCTTGTTGAACTATTTTTTAAAACTAGTTTACTATTAATACTGTGTTACTATGTGTTTCATTTTCAATAATGGTGTGCGAGAGAGAGCGAGAGAGAAAATCAATGCGTGGATCTACAATAAAGGGGACAGGTAGTAAGGGTTGTTTCTGGACGGGCTTAGAGAAATAATAATAATAATAATAATATGCCATTTAGCAGACCCTTTTATTCAAAGCGACTTACAGTCATGCGTGCATACATTTTTGTGTATGGGTGGTCCCGGGGATCGAACCCACTACCCTGGCGTTACAAGCGCCGTGCTCTACCAGCTGAGCTACAGAGGACCACAGAGAAGCAGTGAAACGACTACAAAGGCAAAGCGATTAGCTTGTTAACTAGCAAGGGAACACTTCTAGGAAGTGTGTTTCTTCAACTGCCTTATTCAATAAAATAACGGGAAAGAAATCAGAAAGGAATAGAAATGCTGCACATCTGCAATAACTAACAAAAACAGACCCGTAAAACATATGTTAGACGTTCTGGAACGAGTCCTATTCCCGCACAAAACAATAGGAAGTTAGCCATACTTACCTAGCTATGTCCTATCTAGCTCTAGAATCGTATGCATAGCTTTAAATATGTTACCTTTCCCCACAGACATTTGTTTTTGCATGTCTCTCCACTGCAGTCACCTGGAACTGTGATAAGGTGATCGAAAATGCCAACAATTTTTGCCGATGTGTGCCACTGTGTGTGTACGTTGTCGAACAAGACTGTGGGGGACCTATTTAGATGTAACACATCAAATCTAAGTTTGTCGCGTACACATATGAGCAGGTGTAGCGAAATGCTTACTTCTAGCTCCAGCAGTGCAGTAAGTATACAATACTAATACACAAATAACCCACCCCCCAGAAAAATAAGAAACAATAAATGAACAAATATCAGAGCGAGAGCAAATACTTTTATAACTAAACTAAGATAGACCACAGCCTGTCGTTTCAAATGGGAACAAATGACTTCTTCTTCTTCTTCAGTGCGGTTTATCGGCGGTTGGCATCCAACGTTATGGTGCATTACCGCCACCTACTGTACTGGAGTGTGGGCCAAAGACAGGGAGAACTAAATCCTACCTGCCAGACCCGTTGCTGTTAAAAAAGACTGGGAACAAATTTGCCATTGTGGGCAGAACAAGTAAGTATGTGGGCAGAGCCAAGCACGAGCTAGCAAGATCCTATTGGCGCGTTGTAGCATTATTTGCATATTTCAGTTGGGGAACGCCTACTCTGTGAAGAGTGGTTGTGCAATAACTCAATTTATCTTTGCACTCCTTCTAAACAACGCAAGTTTTTGAAACTTTGGCAAAGGGTAAAGTCTACAAAACTTAGTACACTCTGTTAGTAACAGATTGTAGTTTTGGAAACAGAAAACTGTATTGAGATCAAATGTTTCATCGATGAGTAAATTATCAGAATGTCATACAAAATCCATCTTCTCTCACTGCTGGCCACTAGGCTTCAATTCAATTCAAGGGGCTTTATTGGCATGGCAAACATATGTTAACATTGCCAAAGGAAGTGAAATAGATAAACAAAAGTGAAATAACCAATAAAAAATTAACAGTAAACATTACACTCACAAAAGTTCCAAAAGAATAAAGACATTTCATATTATGTATATATACAGTGTTGTAACGATGTGCAAATAGTTCAAGTAAAAAAAGGGAAAATAAATAAACATAAATATGGGTTGTATTTACAATGGTGTTTGTTCTTCACTGGTTGCCCTTTCTTGTGGCAACAGGTCATAAATCTTGCTACTGTGCTGGCGCCAGGTAGCTTAGTGGTTAAGTGTGTTGTGCCAGTAACCAAAAGGTTGCTGGTTCTAATCCCCGAGCCGACTAGGTGAAAAATCTGTCGACGTGCCCTTGAGCAAGGCACTTAACCCTAATTGCTCCTGTAAGTCGCTCTGGATAAGAGTGTCTGCTAAAATGTCAATGTGATTGCACACTGTGGTATTTCACCCAATCAATACGGGAGTTTATCAAAATTGGATTTGTTTTCTAATTCTTTGCGGACCTGTGTAATCTGAGGGAAATATGTATCTTATATTTGTACATTCTGTATACCCCCCCTACCTTGTCACAACACAACTGATTGGCTCAAACGCATTAAGAAAGAAATACATTTCACAAATTAACTTTTAAGAAGGCACACCTTTACATTGAAATGCATTCCAGGTGACTACCTCATGAAGCTGGTTGAGAGAATGCCAAGAGTGTGCAAAGCTTTCATCAAGGCAAAGGGTGGCTATTTGAAGAATCTCAAATATAAAATATATTTTGATTTGTTTAACACTTTTTTGGTTACTACATGATTCCATATGTGTTATTTCATAGTTTTGATGTCTTCACTATTATTCTACAGTGTAAAAAATAGTACAAATAAAGAAAAACCCTGGAATGAGTAGGTGTGTCCAAACTTTTGACTGGTACTGTACATATAATAAATACACAAATGAGCTAGCTACTATAAGCGATAAGGTTATTTAAAAAATCACACTCATTCAAGGCTTTTTATTTACACTTGAAACATCAAACTCATGCATGAGAACGGGGCCCATGGTTCTCATATGGACCAATTAAAAAAATTTACATTATTGGGTGTGATTTGATGTGGTTAAAATAATTAAGTTGTATATGAATAGGTATATATTCAACAAACACATTGACTAAACTACCATGCGATGTGTTACATCACAGTGTTTATAGTTTGCCCCTAAAAGCATTGCAGGGATAACTGTTCCCCACTATGTTATAAATTCAGAACACAGGGACAACATTTTTCATTACTAACATATATATATATATATATAGTCTCGGAAATCCGAGACCTTGGAGCACATTACAATGGAACATTGCAGGAGGCAACCCGTCTGTCTAGAGACTATAACATCTATACACAAAAAAATGCTATCAAAGCCCAAAAAAAAGAATCCCTTGATTTGAATTTGCTCAGTGTTCTTTCTTGTCATGTGCTTTCAAAAGTTCTGTCCGACTGAAAGCTTTCTCACATTTTAAACATTTGTAGGGCTTCTCTCCGGTGTGAGTCATCATGTGTCTTTTCCGTACCCTTAAGTCAGAAAAGTTTCTCCCACAGACAGAACACGGATACGGCTTCTCCCCCGTATGAGTTCGCATGTGTCGAGTGATATAACAATTTTGCGTAAAACCCTTCCCACAGACTTTGCACTTATATGGCCGCTCTCCAGTATGATATCTCATGTGTACCCTCAGTTCCTTTGGAGATCTGAAACCCTTGCCGCACTCTGACTCGGTGCATTTAAAAGGCTTCTCCTGAGTGTGAATCAAGTCATGCCTTGTCAATGAGGACATGCTCAGAAACAACTTACCGCAGTATGTGCAGGGGAAACGCACCCCTGCATGACAGATCTTCACATGACTTACTAATGCCCTCTTCTCCCCGTATGATTTGTCACACTGGGAGCAGGAGTGTTTATCTTCGGGTTTGCTGTGAACATTTAGCATGTGGTTTCTCAGCGTTGTTTGGTTGATAAAGCCTTTTCCACATTCCCAGCAAAGGCATTTCTCTCCTGTGTGTATTCTTTCATGTTCGGCAAGAGTCGTTGATGATTTACATTTCTTTGGACAGTGGGAACACTGGTAAGGGAGAGTGTGAGTCCTCTCGTGTCTGACGAGATCTGATAACTCAGTGAAGCTCTTCTCACAGTAGGTGCAGAGGAATGGCCCGTTGAATTTATGGACATCCAGATAGTGTTTCTTGAGGGGCTTGACACCGTTAAAGCTGTTTTCACACATGGTGCATTTCAAAGGCTTGTGCACCAGCTTATGCCTGTCCAGCTTTTCTATGTCTGCGAACATCCTTCCGCAAATGCAGCACACTTTTGACTCTTTGTGTTTTGGGTTCTGGATAGGCTCCCCTGTGTGGATTTTCTGGTGCCGCCTCATGTCTGCACTTCGACTGAAAGTCTTCTCACAAATTGGGCACTTCTTGAATGTATATTTTTCAGAAAATTCAGTTTTGGTTTGTTTCTGTTCTTGTGCTAGAAATGTCTTCATCTTCAGCCCTCTGTTTCTTCTTACTGGTCTTAAGGGCAATAATATCAGGTTGGTAGTGTCAATCCTTTGTAGATCCACTGAGGGCTGGTAAAGCATGGAGGATATGATCACATTAGACTTGCTGTTGAATATGCTAAGCATTTGTTCTCCATGACTTCCACTGGCTTTGTGTGTCATTATTTTAGGCTTTTTGAAATAACTATTTTTCCCGACACTTAAATCTTCAAAAGGCTGCACCATCCCGTCTTCCCCGATAACCATCACCGTTTCGTACTTTGGTTCCACCTTGTCTGTCACTTGGTCAGCAAACTCTGCATCATCCTCATCACTAACAGAGGAAGTTTTGTTTTTCTCACATTCCCCTGACCTGCTTTCCACCCCTTCTCTTTCTTTTACATCCATACTTGTTCCTTCTCTCTCCACCTCTGTTGAAATCACCACCCGTTCCACAGGAGGAAGACAGAGAGCTGAGAGAATGCAGTCCCCATCGGTGGAAGATGGAGGGTCTGCGAAAAAAGGAATAAGGGGACCAAAACTCAACACAGTAATGCTCGATAGATGTAATTTGCCATTGGGGTGTAAGAAAACGAATCCATGATATAGCATGAAAATGATGGGTCCTGTGAGAGATGCCTACCATGGTTGTCCAGTGGGCTGAGGTCTCTGTGGTATTGAAGCAGGGTTTTCAGCTCTTGAGGGTGAGACACGGACTCAACACATTCCTCCAGAACAGAGGGAACATCGCTGAGCAGCAAGGCAGCCTGACACAATGAGGAATACAGAGTTAGAAGGAATATAGGTAGAATTCACACAATGCCTAAGTGTCAAGTCCATGGTTCCTCTATTTCAGTGGTCTCTTTTCTAGCATGAGAAAAATGTAGCTGGCTACTCTTTTTCCCCTAGCTTCTCCTCTCCTCTGCAACCCTTCCCCAGGTCCTTAGTCTACAAGAGAAAGTAGTGCACTATGTTTTCTGTCAATATACCTGGTAAAATAAGGGTTAATAAACAACTTCCACCTGCGATTTCCCCCCCCAAATCAAGTTATATATTTTCCCAAATTATGTTCTCAGTGAAAATAATTCCAGGTTTTTGATTTTTACAGTTTTTCACTTTCAAAATTACAATCGTTCATAGAAAAACAACAACATTTGATGTTCTGAGTACATATCAATGCTTAAATCACATCAGAATACCATTTATTTTTAGGTCTGGAAGAAAACTAACAAATGTGGTTATTCAAGTGTAATTCCCCTTTAATTGCACATCTAGCAAGTGAGGAATGTGCCAAGGTTCTGTACTGCTGCTGCTCAGTTCATGGCAGTGTGCAAATAACAAATAATAGATACAAATGATATACTTCCTCATGATATACTTCTGCCAGGTAAGCCTACTTTGCAGTTAACATTTAATTGAGAAGGTTTTGGGGAAAGTATTTCTCTCAACCCACAAGACTGGCTATACATAGTAATAGACAAACGCACCACACAGACGGGCAATATTGCTGGAAATTAATATATTGTGTTCGGTTTGGCTTGGCTTTTTAAGCCAATAGTGGCTAACTAGGGGTGGGATCATGTTAATTTTGCGTTGATTAATAATAATAATATGCCATTTAGCAGACGCTTTTATCCAAAGCGACTTACAGTCATGCGTGCATACATTTTTTTGTGTATGGGTGGTCCCGGGGATCGAACCCACTACCTTGGTGTTACAAGCGCCGTGCTCTACCAGCTGAGCTAGATAGTAGCTAGGAGCTTGCGGTGTCTGATACTTGTGAGATTTGTTTGACAGTTTGCGGTGGAACACGTGAAAATTGCATGTGCTTTCAGAATTGTTTGGCGAGCTACTCATTAGGTGGGCTGCGATCGACCTGTTGAAGACCCCTCTATGACTCAAGTTTATTTATACTAGTACCTGTTGGAAGTTTGATACGGGAAGTAGCTTCTCAAGTCTCGAAAGAAATTGCCACATGAGTTTCTGGATGGCTGCGTCATAACTGGGACCAAATTCTACAGGAAAAACATCCTAAAACAGAGTAATGAAATATGAGCTATAAAAACCTCTCAGAAGATATTATTATTTAAATTGTTGAAATATACAGCAGTCGTGGAAATGACCCAAGGATATTCCATACCCACATACTCACTGACCTGGAAGAAATGTTCTCTCTCATCTGGATCTTTCAGAAGGGTTTGAACCAGCCCCAGGAAGTTGGATTCAGATAATCCTACCTCTGCATCAGTCGCCTGAAAAACAGAATATAAACATGTTGACTTATTCAGGACATCTAAATGACAGCTTGTCATTTAGGCTGCTAATGTTTTTGTCATATCATTGTCATTTCAGAAATACACTAAATGACCAAAATTATGTGGACACCTGCTCGTCGAACATCTCATTCCAAAATCATGGGCAATAATATGGAGTTGGTCCCCCCTTTGCTGCTATAACAGCCTCCACTCTGCTGGGAAAGCTTTCCACTATATGTTGGAACATTGCTGCAGGGACTTGCTTCCATTCAGCCACAAGAGCATTAGTGAGGTCGGGCACTGATGTTGGGCGATTAGGCCTGGCTCGCAGTCGGCGTTCCAATTCATCCCAAAGGTGTTCGATGGGGATGAGGTCAGGGCTCTGTGCAGGCCAGTCAAGTTCTTCCACACTGATCTCGACAAACCATTTCTGTATGGACCTCGCTTTGTGCACGGGGGCATTGTCATGCTGAAACAGGAAAGGGCCTTCCCCAAATTGTTGCCACAAAGTTTGTCTAGAATGTCAATGTATGCTGTAGCGTTAAGATTTCCCTTCACTGGAACTAAGGGGCCTAGCCCGAACCATGAAAAACAGCCCCAGACCATTATTCCTCCTCCACCAAACTTTACATTCGGGCAGGTAGCTTTCTCCTGGCATCCCAGATTCGTCCGTTGGACTGCCAGATGGTGAAGTGTGATTCACACAGTGTTTCCACTGCTCCAGAGTCCAATGGTGGCAAGCTTTACACCACTCCAGTCGACGCTTGGCATTGCACATGGTGATTTTAGGCTTGTGTGTGGCTACTCAGCCATGGAAACCCATTTCATGAAGCTCCCGACGAACAGTTCTTGTGCTGACGTTGCTTCCAGAGGCAGTTTGGAACTCTGTAGTGAGTGTTGCAACTGAGGACCAATGATTTTTACGCGCTGCGCGCTTCAGCACTCGATGGTCCCATTCTGTGAGCTTGTGTGGCCTACCACTTCGCGACTAAGCCGTTGTTGCTAGATGTTTCCACTTCACAATAACAGCACTTACAGTTGACCGGGGCAGCTCTAGTGGGGCAGAAATTTGACTTACTGACTTGTTGGAAAGGTGGCATCCTATGACGGTGCCACGTTCAAAGTCTGAGCTCTTGAGTAAGGCCATTTTACTGCCAATGTTTGTCTATGGAGATTGCATGGCTGTGTGCTCGATTTTATACACCTGTCAGCAACAGGTGTGGCCGAAATAGCCGAATCCACTAATTTGAAGGGGTGTCCACATAATTTTGTATATATAGTGTATGTCTATGACTGATGTAAACATTTGCTGAGTCTCTGCCTTAAGGAGCTCACCTGTGTCCCCCAGAGAGGTGTGAGGGTCTGTATCCTGTCCAGGTGTGGCTGAATGGTCTGGAGGTCTGTGATCGGCTTAGAGCGACACAACTCCAGGACCAGCTGAAACCAGAGCAAACCATTTAGGATACTTATTTGGGACAATAAACATGACTAAATATGATCATATGCCATCGTTCCCCACATAATGATGAGCACTAGTTCCGTCTCTCCTTCTCACCCGTGCTCGAAGACCCAGAATAAGTTGGGCCCTCTGACTGTGGTTCAGAAGCTCTGGAACCATCTCTGTGACCATGGTAACAAACTCCTCCAACATCCCATAATCCATCACGTGTCTTTGCTGGACCGTTTGCCAGATGGCTGCTGAGACCAGCCGTAGTGGTGGGACCATGAGGCGCAGAGAGGGGAGGGGAAAAGGGGGACCTGTTCACAAATCAATTTATAAACACCTCTTATTGCACATCACATCAAACTCTAGCTTGTGGAACAATTTTTTCAATACTATGTGATTCATTGTCAAGAATGTTGTGTTGTGTGTGCGAGAGAGAGAGAGAGAGCGACATCATCCATCCAGAAACAACCCCTAGCTCTTTCCCTTCTTAGAATCATTGAGTCTTCCTTTTGATTAACTACAATAAAGAGGACAGATAGTAAGGGTTGTTTCTGGACAGGCCTAGAGATGCGGTGAAACTACTGTGCAAAGCAGCAAAGGAATGTTAGCTAGCTAGCAATCCAACACTTCAAGGAAGTTTATTTCTTAAACTGCTTAATGCATTCAATAAAAGAACGGCCATGAAATCAGAGGAATAGATATGCTGCACATCTGCACTAACAACAACAAAACTGACACGCAAAACATATTTTAGACGTTCTGGAACGAGTCCAGTTCCCGTACAAAACAGTGGGAAGTTAGCCATACTTAGCTAGCTAACATTAGCAAGTATGTCCTATCTAGCTCTAGTATCGTAGCTATGCATAGCTATAAATATGTTACCTTTCATCCCAGACATTTGTTTTTGCATATCTCTCCACTGCAGTCACAACAGACGCCTGGAAATGTAATAAGGTGTGCCACTGTGCGTGCGTTGTCGAACAAGACTGTGGGGGATCAATTAAAATGTAACACGTGAGGTGCCTGTAAACGTATAGTTCCCATTGAGCTATAAACTCATTTATGTAGTTCCTCAGCGTAACCACTAAGCAAGGGGCAGCACAGACTTTTACATCAAACTAAGGTGTTTGGTGCAGTATTTCTCAAGTAAAAACATGCTTGACGTGTTGTCTTAAGTAAACAAAGTCGGAGCTGCTGGGCAGGTCGGTCTCACTGTCTACGCTATAGAGCTCGCCAGCTTGTAGTCCTAAAACCTGGAAATGTGTTACAAGTGTCGTGCTCTACCAGCTGAGCTACAGAGGACCACACGACTTACAGTTAGTGAGTGCATACATTATTATTATAATAATTTTTTCACACTGGCCCCCCGTGGGAATCGATCCCACAACCCAGGCATTGCAAGCGCCATGCTCTACCAACTGAGCTACATGGGGCCGTGATAGTTTTTCTTGAGGGGTTTGACACTGTTGAAGCTGTTTTCACACATGGTGCATTTCAAAGGCTTGTGCACCAGCTATGCCCGTCTAGCTTTTTGGGGTCTGCGAACACAGAGCGCAGAAGAGTGTGTTGTGGGTGAGTTCTTGTGCCCTCAGTGTTATTATGAACATGAAATTCTTCTCAAAATGAGGACGTGTGTGAGGGCGCAGATCTGAGCGGGATCTCATGTGAACTTTCTTGCTGCTAGATTTTGGCAAACGCTTTTTGCAAATGCGGCATACTTTTGACTGTTTGTGTGTTTTGGTCTGGCTAGGTTGCTAAATTGGATGTAAGATGTTAAATGTAAAATGTAAAGATGTGTCCTGAGGTGTACTGGTGGCCTCGATGAGTTCCACTGGATGGCTCGGTATCCTCTCCCTCAGGTTTCTAGACTGTTTCGCTGGACTGAGTCCATGTCATCACTAGCTGGAGATCTGCTATGCGATTGTTTGGAGTCTTTTTCACATATAAGTCTGTGTTTCTCCGAACTTGTATATCTTATCACACATCAAACAATGACGGGGGGCGCTCTTCTGAGGTTATGTGGTTCGGGGGAATCTTATCGTGTGTGACAGCTCCTGCTCAACAGTGGTGTTGATGGAGGACGAACTCTGAGGTTCGCTGATGAAGATTGTGAGATTTCTGCTTTTCTGGTTTGCCCTGGACGACTCATGTATTTTTCCCCCTGCATATGGTTGCTGCTGTGTACTGCCAGATAGCTCTGAGTATTTCTGTCCCGTAGCTGAAGGACTAACGCTCTCTCCAGAGGGAACCTCCCCTGGTTGCTCTTTCTCAATCAGACAAGCCTCTTTGTGAACAATCATATTGTTTAAGTACTTACTGTAAGTTATTGTACAATTACTATAATGGTATAGGTGATCCTGGGAATGGGTCTTCAAGTGCCTTGACATGTCTGAAGCACTTGTTCGAAATTTCAGGTCCTTCATCTTTGCCTTCGAGCTGCTTGGGTGTTTCACCTTTAGGTTTTGACACAACTACTTACACACATTTTGCTGATGTCTCGTCAGATCAAAATGGCACTGAAAGCACTTCCTACACAGGAGACACAGAAATGGATGCACCCCTGTGTAGATTTTCTGGTGCCACCTCATGTCTGCACCTCGACTGAAAGTCTTCCCACAAATTGGGATTTTAATGAATGTATAATCTTCAGAAAATTCTGTTTCTGTTTGTTTCTGTTCCACACTGAACAAAAGTTACAGTTCAAAAAGTTACAGTGTGGATGGGGATTGGACCAGTAAAAGATTAGACTAAATTGTGTTGTTGAAGAGGTGGACCCCAGGTGCGAAACAGTGATGGTTATTGGCGAAGATGGGATGGCACAGCCTTATGAAGATTTAAGAGTCAAAAGGAAGAGATCTTTCAGAAAGCCCAAAATAAAGACACATAAAGCCAGGGGAAGTCATGGAGAACAAATGCTTAGCATATTCAACAGCAAGTCTAATGTGATCATATCCTCTGTTGCTTTTTGGTAAGCTTCGTTCCCTTTATGAATTACCCACACTGCACTGCAGTCTCTTCATTCACAAGGCAATTGATAATATTGTCACCTATCAGACTATTGTCAATTTAATCTTGTCTTTAGGCTACATCTGTTATTGTAGACCAATGTTGGAAATTAGTTTTTATATAGTTTAGGTGTAGTTTTGATTGGACATTTGACTGAGTTACAGTTCATATAAGGAAATCAGTCAATTGAAATAAATTCATTAGGCCCTAATCTATGGATATCACATGACTGGGAATACAGATATGCATCTGTTGGTCACAGATACCTTAAAAAGGGCCTCCCGAGTGGCACAGCAGTCTAAGGCACTGCATCGTAGTGCTTGTGGCATCACTACAGACCTGGATTCGATCCCAGGCTATGTCACAGCCGGCTGTGATCGGGAGACCCATGAGGTGGCGCACAATTAGCCCAGCGTTGTCTGGGTTAGGGGAGAGTTTGGCATGCAGGGGTTTCCTTGTCCCATCACGCTCTAGCGACTCCTTGTGGCGGGCCGTGCGCCTGCAAGCTGACTTCATCGCCAGCTGTACGGTGTTTCCTCCGACACATTGGTGCGGCTGGCTTCCGGGGTAAGCGAGCAGTGTGTCTAGAAGCAGTGCTTGGCAGGGTCGTGTTTCAGAGGATGCATAGCTCTCGCCTTCGCCACTCCCGAGTCCGTACGGGAGTAGCAGCGATGGGACAAGACTGTAACTACCAATTGGATATCACGAAATTGGGGAGAAAAAGGGGTAAAAAATGTATAACAGATACCTTAAAGAAAAGGTAGGGGCGTGGATCAGAAAACCAGTCTGTATCTGGTGTGACCACCATTTGCCTCATGCAGCGTGACACACCACCTTCGTATAGAGTTGATCAGGCTGTTGATTGTGGCCTGTGGAATGTTGTCCCACTCCTCTTCAATGGCTGTGTGAAGTTGCTGGATATTGGCGGGAACTGGAACATGCTGTCGTACACGTCGATCCAAAGCATCCCAAACATGCTTAATCCAACCACCTGACAGGTGTGGCATATCAAGAAGCTGATTAAACAGCAGGAAAATTACACAGTGCACCTTGTGTTGGGGACAATAAAAGGCCACTCTAAAATGTGCAGTTTTGTCACACAACACAATGCCACAGATGTCTCAAGTTTTGATGGAGCGTGCAATTGGCAGTCATGTGAAATCCATAGATTAGGGTCTAATGAATTTATTTCAATTGACTGATTTCCTTATGAACTTTAACTCAGTAAAATCTTTTAAATTGTTGCATGGCATCCCTAGCCGCATCCTCAGAGCATACGCAGACCAGCTGGCTAGAGTGTTTACGGACATAATCAATCTCTCCCTATCCCAGTGTGCTGTCCCCACTTGCTTCAAGATGTCCACCATTGGTCCTGTTCCCAAGAAAGCAAAGGTAACTGAACTAAATGACTATCACCCCGTAGCACTCACTTCTGTCATCATGAAGTGCTTTGAGAGGCTAGTTAAGGATCATATCGCCTCTGTACCTTACCTGACACCCTAGACCCACTTCAATTTGCTTACCGCCCCAATAGATCCACAGACAATGCAATCGCCATCGCACTGCACACTGCCCTATCACGTCTGGACAAGAAGAATACCTATGTAAGAATGCTGTTCATTGACTATTGCTCAGCATTCAACACCCTAGTACCATCCAAGCTCATCATTAAGCTTGGGGCCCTGGGTTTGAACCCCGCCCTGTGCAACTGGGTCCTGGACTTCCTGACGGGCCGCCTCCAGGTGGTGAAGGTAGGAAACAACACCTCCACTTCGCTGATCCTCAACAGGGGCCCCACAAGGGTGCGTTCTCAGCCCCCTCCTGTACTCCCTGTTCAGCCATGACTGCGTGGCCACGCACACCCCCAACTCAACCATCAAGTTGACAGATGACACAACAATAGTAGGCCTGATTACCAACAATGACGAGACAGCCTACAGGGAGGAGGTGAGGGCCCTGGGAGTGTGGTGCCAGGAAAATAACCTCTCACTCATCGTCAACAAAACAAAGGAGCTGATTGTGGACTTCAGGAAACAGCAGAGGGAGCACACCCCTATCCACATCGACGGGACCGCAGTGGAGAAGGTGGAAAGCTTCAAGTTCCTCTGTGTACACATCACTGACGATCTGACATGGTCCACCCACACAGACAGTGCCTCTTCAACCTCAGGAGGCTGAAAAAATGTGTCTTGGCAGCTAAAATCCTCACAAACTTTTACAGATGAACAATTGAGAGCATCCTGTCGGGCTGTATCTCCGCCTGGTACGGCAACTGCACCGCCCTCAACCGCTGCACTCTCCAGAGGGTGGTGCGGTCTGCCCAACGCATTACCAGGGGCAAACTACCTGCCCTCCAGGACACCTACAGCACCCGATGTCACAGGAAGGCCAAAAAGATCATCAAGGACAACAACCACCCGAGCCACTGCTTGTTCACCCTGCTATCATCCAGAAGGCGAGGTCAGGTCCGGCCCAATGGGAAATCCACAAGCAGTTGTCTGGATTTCACAGAATTTTTCAATTGCAATGTATTTTCCATGAACCGCAACTGATATTGATATAGATTTTCCATATCGGTGCCCATCACTACTTTAATGGATTTATTCAATGAGTGATTGTAGTGACTGAATGTATCAAAGACTGTGTCAGACCATTAATTTTTAACTGACACATTTATTGAAATGGGTGATTGAAACGAATGAATGTATCAAAGTGTGTTAGATCATGAATTCTTTGCGAAAACATTTTATGAAATGGGGGACCGTAATGAATTAATGTATCCTAGAGTGTGTTTGACCATGAATTTTAACTGACACGTTTTATAAAATTGGTGACTAGTGACGGCTGACCTATAGCCTGGTTGATAATCACTACGAATGAATTGTAAATAACCGAGATTTTCGTTTTGACTAAAAAGTTTGCCTTATGTGTTAGCTTTTTGTGTTGCTAGTTTAGTGTGTATATAATCAAATCAAAATCAAATCAAATGTATTGGTCACATACACATGGTTAGCAGATGTTATTGCGAGTGTAGCGAAATGCTTGTGCTTCTAGTTCCGATAGGCATTGATGTTAGGACCATGGATGGCACCGGGTCATTTGAAGGTGATTTCTAATGACCGTACTGAGTACTCCCAACCACACTTTTACCTCTGCACATAGAATAGTTTTTTCCCTCTATAAACCAATATGTAATCTATAGGTCTATAGTGTATTGCATTGGGACCAATGGAGTGGGTGGAGTAGAAAGTGTTGATGGGCAGATAGACCTCAGTCTCCTATGAAAGAACACCATATATAGATTCTACAGAACCTAGTGAGTAATCCCAACCCCACTTTTACTTCAGCACCTAGAATAGTTTTCTTTATATTAACCAATATGTATTTCATATACAGTGTATTGCATTGGGGGAATTTATTTGACCTTGGAATTTTTTTAAAAACCCAAATGTAATGCAAATATCACTTAAATATGAACAAATATGTATCATTGTTAATGTATAGACAATTTTTCATATCATGAATAAATACAGGTTAATGACGCTTTTCTACTATTACATGGGGGACTTTTATCTAGAAAATGTCCTAAATTCCGTAAACAGGAAGTACATTTATAGTGTTGCTGACGAAACCGTCAAAGAAACATTTCTATAACCACCCCAAGATAGACCAGAGCCTGTCGTTTCCTATTGGGGAAAAATTTATCATAGTGGGCAGAACAAGCAAGGAGGTGGTCAGAGCCAAGCACGAGCTAGTGAGATGCTATTGGCGCGTTCTAGCATTATTTGCATATTTGCGTAAGGGAACGCCTATGCTGAAGTGCGCGTTTGCAATGTCTCAAATCGTCCAAGCACTCCTAAACAACGTACTTTTTTTGAAACTTTGGCAAACGGTAAAATATACAAATCGCAGAGCACTCTGTTACAGATCCTAGTTTTGGAAACTGATATTGTATGCTTTTCTACAATTACGTGGGGGACTTTTATCTAGAAAATGTCCTAAATTCCGTAAACAGGAAGTACATTTATAGTGTTGCTGACGAAACCGTTAAAGAAACATTTCTATAACCACCCCAAGATAGACCAGAGCCTGTCGTTTCCTATTGGGGAAAAATGAATCATAGTGGGCAGAACAAGCAAGGAGGTGGTCAGAGCCAAGCACGAGCTAGTGAGATGCTATTGGCGCGTTCTAGCATTTATTTGCATATTTGCGTTAGGGAACGCCTATGCTGAAGTGCGCGTGTGCAATGTTGCAAATCGTCCTTGCACTCCTAAACAACGTAATTTTTTTGAAACTTTGGCAAACGGTAAAGTATACAAATCGCAGAGCACTCTGTTACAGATTCTAGTTTTGGAAACTGAATATTGTATGGAGATCAAATGTTTAATCGATGAGAAAATGAACAGAATGTCGCCCA